CTCCCTCACAGGTGGTTAAGACTATTGGCCTCCGGGAAGTGTGGTACTTTGGCCTCCAGTACGTAGATAATAAAGGGTTTCCTACCTGGTTGAAGCTTGATAAAAAGGTAAGTCCGAGCTAACTCTGCAGGCTGCTAACTGGGGCTGGTCCTCTTCTTGACGTTGAAGCTGGAGCCCTCCCTCTGTCTTTGCTTCTTTGTTCCTTTTTATTTGTGTAAAAGTTTTTACAGACAAAAAGGTTGCAGGTTTCCAGTAAATGGGATACTGGTTGGAAATTAGATCCTGGCATTTTCCCCGTACTGCTCACTCATTGGAGCACATGATGCTTAATTCTTCGTGTTTAGGTGACCTTAGTGTTTTCCCCCCCAATGCAATTGTTAATCTTAGAGCCATGAATCATCCACTGTTTTGCAAGAACCTGTTACTGCTTGGTTAGAGCCTGTGATAGATTATCTCCCAGCTCGAAAGACTGGATAATTCCAGTAACAGTTATAAAGAAAAGCAATAAGCTAAATGTGTTTTCTCTAAACAGTTTGGAAAATGTCCCTTTTTCCAAACCTCTGCTTTCCTCCCATATTATATAGCAGGTCAGGAGGACGACTGGAAGTGTGAAAGGGGAGGGGCATGAGGAATTTTTAAAAGTAAGTTCCACAGTCCAGGGCTAGACTGGCCACGTGGACGGATTCCAGGTTCAAGGGTCACCCAAGCAGGTGCTTCCAAATTGGAGCTCTCGATCACACCGTCCCTCGAAGAGCAGGGCTGGGCTAGTGGCACTGGGATAGCAGCTGGCTGTCGCTAGACTTCCAGCTGAGTGTGGGGCTGTAATAGGTCATTTTAAATTGGCCTTTTTTGTCTTAACATGCTAAAAGGTGACTTTCAGAATAAACATCATCATTTGAAAACTGGCCTGAAGAACCCTTTGGAGTCAGTGGTTAGAAGCCTGTGTTTGGGTTGGGATGGCAGGTCTTTGTGTCTCCTGAACTCACGGGGAGAGTTTGGCTTCTGTTGTCTAGGTGTCCGCCCAGGAGGTCAGGAAGGAGAGCCCCCTCCAGTTCAAGTTCAGGGCCAAGTTCTACCCTGAAGACGTGTCTGAGGAGCTCATCCAGGACATCACTCAGAAGCTTTTCTTTCTGCAAGTGAAGGAGGGCATACTTAGCGATGAGATTTACTGCCCTCCAGAGACCGCGGTGCTGCTTGGCTCCTACGCAGTGCAGGCCAAGTTTGGAGACTATAGCAAAGAAATGCACAAGTCTGGGTACCTCAGCTCCGAGCGGCTGATCCCTCAGAGGTGAGCTGGCGGCCAGGCCTGGGGAAGGGATGGTGAGGAGGCAGCAGAAAGCACAAGGGCGTTGTCAAGGGCAAGTGCTCCTTGAGCCGGTGCTGGGCATTTCCTAACCTGTGTGTTTACTCCTGCTGTGAGCAGACAGTGACCCAGCACAGCAGCCCCCTGAGCCACCAGTGATTCACCTGAGCAGGGTCTGACAGAAGCAGCAGGGAAGGGACCCTACCTCATGGGGGCTGAAGAGCAGCTGTGTTATTTGAGGACATTATAAAGCAGTCAAGTTTCTCTCGGCCTGACTACGTCACTCCTTCGGGTGTATAATAACTTGGCCCCTGTTAAATCTACTTTTAGTCACTAATGGTCACAGAAATAAACCCTTTTGGCAGAAGAGTCCTCTTAAAATAAAACACCCTTTTACATTTTTTTTGTAGCAGGACTGTTTGTTCCAGGTCCTAAATCACCAGCCTTTTAGTTTGTCCTAAGTTAGAATCACTGCAGGTTAGGAAGTAGAAACAAGCACACTTTGTGGTGATTTTATTTGAAGGAAAAGTCGAGGTTTGCGTGAAGGTGGGTAGAGGCTGTCACCCCTCTCAGCCCTGTGGGGTGACGTTGCTGTGCCTTCTTCCCCTGCAATCCAGAGTCATGGATCAGCACAAGCTCACCAGGGACCAGTGGGAGGACCGGATCCAGGTGTGGCACGCGGAGCACCGAGGGATGCTCAAGTGAGTGCTGGCGGGAGGTGACCCCTATCCCCCGTCCCCCTTCGC